AGAACAACCACCTTGGATTTGTACAACTAAATACCATCAGTGTAATAATTAACACCCTGCATTATTGTGGAGAATATAGTATCAGTGAAATTGAATAGAAGAAAAAGAAGATCAAAAGAATTCTTCAAAGAAGAGGGCACTGAAAAATCACAAAGGTTAGAGAAATACATTGAAAAGGTTGAAGAGACTGGTACAAAGCAACTGAAAGGATGAGATATTGATTAAAGTTCAGTGCAGATAAAAACTTGGAGATTTTCCATTACCAGGGGAAAAAAATAAATCAGATGACAAAAATCAGGTGTCAGAGCTCAATTTGTTCTTGAAAAGGTTTGGGTGAATTATTTATTTATTTTATTGCTTCTCTATTTGATGAAGAATTAAACTTTTAATTTATAGACCAGACTTCTATGAGCTATTAGGATTCAGACAAGATAATGGCATTTTGTCCTCTTGGACTGTCCTTGGATATGTACCATTTATACCAGTATTGCTAGCTCCTTGCTTCTGTTTCTAATAAATATTAAAAAGAAGGGAGAGTCTAAAATGTATGCTTTGCAAACACTGCCTACAAATAATGTTAGACATACTTTTATCTGAGAAGGGGGAAAAAAGCCTGTCTTACTTTCTTAATCTGTTTGTTTTATAAACTACACAACTTCTGCTTTTTTCAGTATTACTGAAAATACTAGACATTTCCCTAGAATATGACAGAGACAATTTACAAGTCAGCAGCCCATTAGGATCTGACAGCCCAACCAAAGTAGAGAGAGGAAATTACATACATTTAGAAGGCAAACATTTCACTCAACTAAAACTCATGTTCTGACATTATGACACTCAGGTCATAATACCAGTTCTTCTGTCTTCAGTTGCAATTTTTACTAAGCTAATAGGTCAAGGTAATAAGTCACTTTTCCGTTTGGCCTTTAAAGATTCAGGACAATTCAAAGGGAAAATGCTAAAATTTAAAACGTAAAAAAATCTGTTTCGTATGAAATAAAGACACAGTGACCCCTCCCCCCCCTTCCCCACCCAAATCCATGACTATTTCAAATGCAATTGAACTTATTTATGATTAGTATGTTCCGTTGCAATACAATTTGAATTAGGAAATAGTTTCAATCATAAAAAGATTGGTAGAACCACTAGAAATACTAATACATATTCTAATGCCCTGTATATCAACATTAACCAACAGCTCTGATTCCACCTATTATTGTAAATATAAGGCAATCTGAGCTAAATTAAGGTTAAAAGAAAAATATATATCAGGTGCATCTAAGTCAGCCTTTTCTTTGTACTGGCTTTATGATTAAGCATCAGAACATCAGAATTTAAAATCTCCTTTCCATTGAAACTTTTATTTTAGGGTCTGTTAGAATCTGTCGTCAACACCAAATGCAGCATCCTACCTGTGGACACATGAAGGTTACTGAAGCCTGGTGATTGGCTCTTCCAAGAGCAGAAGGACAGAACTGAACAGGTACTTCAGTGGTAGATTGGGGAGCCACAATCAACTGTAAACACACAAAGAAAGCAAACAAAAGTGAAAAAGAAAATCTATTTTTCGGAGTAAGCTTCTTTTATTTTGTTCTGTTTGTATCAATAATGTTGCTGTTTGCAATTAATGAGTTCCATTGTATGCATTTTGCAAAATGTCACTATGCATTAATAAGTTTCCATTCTCAGCATGCATTTTCTACTAAGCAAACACAAATAGTAAACACTATTTAGTGGTAATAACAGTATGTTTATTCCCCAGAAACTAAGTAACAACATGGTGTTGGTGACTGCTGAACCCCCCCCAAAAACAGCTCATGTGGAATTCTTAAAATTCCAGTGAAAGGGAACAGAATTTTCATTTCTGATCATACTTCATTTCTTTAGTTTATTTTTTTCTCCATCTAGTTGATATTACAATGTTGGTCCACTGAACTCAAAAGAACCAAAGTACCTTTATGGGGAAATGTATGGCAGGCTTTAATGTTCGATTGCCTCTCCTCTCCCTGTATCCTTATGTGCACTCACAAAGCGCTCAGTTACAAATACAGATATGTTATGGGGCTCTGGGCTAGCAGTGAAAGCACAAGCTTAGGAGAGATATCAAGGCTTTAGATCACAGGTGACTGGTGGGGGGGTACACAAGGGGGAAGTGCGCCCCCTGACAGGGCCATCCCCGCCGCTGACACTGCCGGTGGCTTCTGTGGGTGCTCACCAGCCCCGACACCACTGCCGCCACCAGCTTCTGTGGGTACTCGCCAGCCCCGTCCCCACAACCAACGCCGCTGGCGGCTTCTGTGGGTGCCCCCCAGACTCAAGAGGCACCAGTTGCCCATGCTTTTGATATTAAAATACAGCAAGAAGAGACCTCATCTAATCCAACTCCCTGACTGGCAATCTTTTGCCACTGTGGGGCCACTGCTTGTGACCCAGCCCCCACCTCAGGCTATACCTCCCCTCACACCCATAACAATCAGCAGATGCTGCAAAGGGAAAAGATACAAAAAGGCAGGAAAACCAGGGGCATTTATAGACATACTCCGGGAGGCGGGGGGAGGGAGAGGCACTTTGATTAGCGCAGCTCCGAGAGCCACACTAATTAGAAGTGCCCAGAGTATCACATGTATCAGTATCTCCACGCTGAAAAATGTCAGTGTTGAATGAGCTTTAGCTTAAAGCACCCCACTGCCATTTTTCAAAGTGGGGATGCTGATACACATGACACTGGAGTCTGTTGGAGTGCGGTAATTCACGCTCCAGCAGATTACTCCAATGCACTGTAATTACAGTGTGTCAGAGCAGCCTCTCTGCATATGTATAGGAGTCTTAGGGATGGGTCCTTTGCTTCAGCAGAGAGAATAAATTGAGCACAACAGGCGATAGGAACCTGGAGATGCTGCTGTGGCTGGAGTGTGCTGCTGATTCCCTAAGCTGCAGCAGGCCAGATCCAGTCTCTTCGCCAGCTGACCTGCCCATGGGCCATAGGCTGCAACTCCTAGTATGAACCATTACACAAATATTTGTCTAACATGAATTTTAAAGCTTCCAATGATATAGAGTCCATGATGTCTCTAGTCATCCGTTCTTAACCACCCTTATTCCAGGAAAAGTTTTCTAATATCTAATCTAAGTCTCCCTAGTTGTAATGTAAGCCCACAGCAACTTGTTTCCTGTAGATACAGAGACCATCACCATCATCTTTAAAACAATCCTTTTTCTAAAGGAGGAATGTTATCAAATCCACTGTCAGTCTTCTCTCTGCATTAATCCCAATCCAATCTTTCATTTGGTTTCCAGATCTCAAAGTTTTTGTTGCTCTCCTCTAGATGCCCCACCAGTTTTCCACATTTTCCTTGAACTGTTGTGCAGTGAACATAGCACTCCATATGAGACCTCATTAGTGTTGTGAAGTCAGTAACTTTTGTCAATGATTACATGGCTTTTAAAAATTAGTAATATAAGTAGGTTTTTCTTTATATTTAAAATGTTTTAATATATGTTCCTGTGACAGGTAGAATGACACAAAATTGTACTGAGCAAATCAGAATCATTTAATTAATTTTAACATTATTTAAAACCCAGGGGTCAAAGCACTACATTAAAATAGCTGGCACTGACAAACTCATTCATAAAATACCTGTCAAAGCTGAAAGAATGGTAACAAATGGTGAACAAGAATGATTAGAGAATCAGTTTGGGGGCCTTAGGTTTAACAGAATTTTAGAATATAAATGGCATATCCCAATTTTTTAAAGCTTCTGATTAATAGTTTGGGGTCCTGTATTTCTTTCATAGCCAAAACTTCAATTGATGTTGACAGAAGCTTGGATTGAATGAGGAATAGATGATTAGACTGGGAGTACTGGATTTACTTAAATATAAGACAAGAGTTTTCCCCCCAGATCAGCACAGGGTGTGGTGATGCCTTGTCTTTGATCTGAGTACCAGCCTGAGCAGGCAGTGACTCATGCAGTGGGGGAGGGGGGTTGTGGTGGGAGATGAGCAGGGGAGATGGTATGGTATGTGGCTTGGGTTGGGAGGAGTGCAGGGGAGACCGTGCTATCTACTCCCACCCCCAACTGCTTACCTTTGGCTCTAGCCTCAGCTATGACCTGGTTGGGCCCAGAGCTGTTACCACTGTTACTGCTTGGCTGGGCTGGGCTGGGCTGGGCTGAACTGAGCCACTGCTACCTGTGGAGCTAGAGTCTTTCACAAGGTAAATGGTGGGGAGGTAGCGGGCAGGTGGCAACATAGACAGGCATCAGGGGGTGGGGGACAGACACAGGGGAGGGGAAAAATTCCTTCTTGGCCCCATGCAGCAACCAGCAAAACCCACAAATATGGATTCCTTTGAAATGTCTAGCTATAGTTTCAGCCTAGCAGTCTGGTTTCTATGCACAAGAGGTTTTGTGACATACCTACCAATCACATTACCATGATTTAAAAAATGTTGATGCAAATTTCCCAATTAAGACATGCTATCCTTCCTAAAATTAAAACTTACATTTATTTTATTTTGAACAAGTAAAGTATCTACACTTTGGAAGAGGAGGGGGAAATAGCTATTGTATAAAGACAAAAATAGACTAGAACCTTAGGTTCAATAAGTTTATGAGTTGGCATATTTTCATCAGACAACAAATGCAACAATCAAATAAATCAACAAGGTAGTGTCATTATCAGTCTGAATGCCTGCACTTGAAATAGATAATGGGATTTTTTTACCTTTATAGATCTCTTGTATTCATTGATTTTTTTAATATCATGTACTCTGATATGGTATTGTACCAGGAAAGCAATTTGGTTTGATATAAGGAGCTGTGTGAAAAATAGAACTGATAAACCTCTACTTCAGAGAAAATAATATATGTAATTAGAGTCTATAACAGAAAAATGCTCAAACACAATAAGCAAGGACTAAATTTGCCAATTTTATACAGTCAACAATTTTGAAGGTTCTTCCTCATAGCATTTCCTTCTTAGTTATATAAAAAGTATCTTCTGAAGGTGCTCATAATAAGGCAATCTACTGGGAAAGAACCTCAAAAGATCAAGATTAATTCTATTAATCATGGGATTGGAAGAGACCTCAAGAGTCATTTAGTTCAACACCTTAACCTCTGGGCATCCATTTACAGCCCAAATGAGAATTCCACAACCCTAGACCAATATGCTACTCTCACAAGACACAAAATACAAACACAAACTTGAAACTTAGGACTTTGTTTTGAAGCACGTAGGGCTACTAGCAAACCACATGCCTGTTGCCAAGCCAGACAAGCAAGGGAAATAAAAATTACGCCACATATTAGTTTGCGCTATGAATTCTACAACTCGCAAGCAGGTACTTCTCTATTAGTATAACTACATCCACCACATCCTGCAACTTCAGCTCATTCCTTGCCCACATCTCTCTACCTGATTGTTTTCCCTCAATACTAAAAATCGTGGATATTTGGTGGAGTAGCTGGTTGGGAAGGTAGAGATTATTTGTAAAAGTCTGTATAAAAAGATTATGATAGACAGCTGGCACACTTAAGGGTTAGAATTAAAACTGCAGTTTGTTTGTACCTTGACTGCTGAAGATGTTTGTTTGTATTTGTTACCTAGCTTTATTTTAAAAATAAGCTTACAGAAACATGCTTATGCGGAGTGAGTTAAGGAGAGGGGCGGGGGATTAGAAGTACTGTGCATAACTGAAAAAATGTTAGACATAGGCAACATTCTGCAATGGGTTAATATTGCTGGGCCATAGCACTGCTGTTCATTTATAGGTATAAAGAGTCTCCAAATCTGAAACAGCATGTGAGCACAAAGTGGGAGAGGGTGACAGAAATGGACTCACTCAAAGTAACAGAACCAGACTCAGACCCCACTCCAACCCCAAGAGGAAGACAACAGAATTCCTCTGCTTGTCACCTACAGCCATCAGCTTGAACATTTCGAATACAACATTAATGACCTCCGATCCCTCCTGGAAAATTATGATGACCATATCAAGAGAGCCGTGGGGGACAAGCCTGTCTTAGTTCACAGACCGGCCCCCTACCTCAAACATTTCTCTTGAAACAGGGTAGCTAATTCCTATTCTTATCAAGGATTCAGGCCTGGCAACAAACCCAGATGAAACATTTGTCCTCTCGTGAACACAAACCACATTATCACTGGACCAAATAACATGGATTATAACATCCAAGGTTCATTCACCTACTCCTCTACTAATGTCAAATATAGCAGTACCTGCTTACAGTGCCATTCTGTTGCCTACATTGGACAGAATGGCAATCTCTACATGAAAGAATGAGGGGACGCTGATCTGACATCAAGTCTAAAAACACACAAAAGCCTGTAGCAAAACACTTTAACCATCCTGGACATTCCAGCACAACCTCAGAATAGGTGTTCTTAACCAATGGAACTTTAATAGCCAACTTGAACAATTAATTGTGGAACAAGAAATCATCCACAGACTGGAATGTGTAAGTATGGTCTAAACAGGGAGACTACAGAGTATTTT